AAAAAAAAAAAAAACACAACAAACATTGCCTTAATGTTCATATGTGCACATTTTTGCTCAGTTGATTGAATTCATAATCTCCTTCAGCAGCTCTCAAACTCAGTTCAGAGGGAGACAGAAATAGAATCAAGACAATAGCACATCAACGCGTGGTAGAGAGACGTGTGGTATACACAAGCCTTACTAATAGTGCATATCCTTTTGTAGTAGGCTCTGTCTATCACAGCACTCCATCAATGTCACAATTTTGTCTCTTAATTCCATGTTGCCATGAATGTGTGGTGTCCACAAGACCTTTGTGGCATCTATCTTCTAAAGCAGTAGTCTCAACATCACAGGCCCAAAGTAAGCATTTTATCCGAGTAATAGACAACTGAGAATGTCGTGATGTGAAGAAGGGACCTCATTCTACAACCTCATATTGTATCAGACAAACTAATCTCAAAATTATGCTGCTTGTAACTTACACAATATTACTTGTGTGACCGCTAGACAGTCCACCAGCTAATATTGTCCTTTGGAGAAGTGAATAAACGAGTCACTTCTCAGCTTGCACACTGTCAGACAATTTTACCCTATTTTATCACTGTTTTGTTTTAATGTTATGCTCTGAAACCAGAAGTCTTGAGCAGTTACCCTGGTCTAAACACTTGCATAATTCACCAGCAATTGAGTCTGCAATTATATGTATAATGTCTATTTGTAACCACCATTTAGGATTATGAGATGCACTCTGTTCATGGTGGACCACAGGCGCGTGATCAAAACAATGATCCTCTCAGATGACAGAGATTAGTGAGTGAATTTCTAANTGTTTGTAACCACCATTTAGGATTATGAGATGCACTCTGTTCATGGTGGACCACAGGTGCGTGATCAAAACAATGATCCTCTCAGATGACAGAGATTAGTGAGTGAATTTCTAAGTGAGCAGGTGAATTAAAGTTACCATGTTATCCTTCTGCCATGTTTTTTAACATTTTCCCATTCATCGAAAAAGAAAAGAGACTTGTCAAACCGAGTTGTAAATTATTTTATAACCACCAATAGCAGACTTGTAAATTCTATATATAAACTGTAAAATTTCATATGCTGATCTGTTTTATTCTGTAATATTAGGAGTTTAAAGCTAAGGTCAAACTTTGAAATAAGCACTTGGATCACAAACTACATGTCGAACACTTATTAATCCAACAGTTTGATGATCAAAAATCACTTAATAATGTGGATCATAAATTGGAATATCTTTGATGGCTTTATAAATTTTGGTAACTGGTTTTTTCCATTTGGTAGGTCGAAGCCATTCTGAGATTGTTCGGAAAAGGGCATGGTATGGATCATATTCAAAGTCATTCAACAGTAATGACTTTGAATATGCCACTTGTTTTGGCTCTGCCTTCTTATGGCAGATGCATTTAGCCACTCGCAATTTCTGAATATAATTTACTCTTCTTCCAAGTCACGAGAGTATACGTTTGTTGCACCTGCAGGGGTAGGGCATTTCGATCAGATGCTCCTCCATGAGGATGATACTGCACTATTGAAGGCTAGAGTCTATGGTCGCCAGAGAGAGACCACTTGGTGTCGAAGGTAGGTATATGTACAGCAGTGCTTAAATAAATTGTAGAATGGCTAGAAGGTAGAAAATATAAGAAAACTGACCCTCGTTTTAGTCGTCATTAATGAGTCTTAGACGTTTAAACTGATAACAGACCCAACTATGAGAAAACTAATGTTTATACTCTCAGCTCTTTATATATAACTTACAATGGAAATATGTCTTCCAATTTCTTTCCAACGGATAATTGAGGCCAAAAAAGTGATAAAATAAGATCTATATGAAGCCCATATACATCCATGTTTACCGGGACAACGAGATTCATATTGGCCTTCTACAGAATCTCCAATGAGATGGCTTCTTGCTGCTCTGGGTGTTTCTGGCATTGGAAGGACGCGTAGAGTGAATCATCTCCCACATTACTTGTATATCAGCATATCCTGCGCAGGCCTCCATATCGTTGTAAAGATTCACCAACCCATGCTTATTCTCTGTCATGACCACCATATGAATGAGATTGAGATAGAGAGAGAGAGAGAGAGAGAGAGATTTTATGACTTAATCTTACCTTTAGCCTGATGTCTGAGGGTTGAAGTAATCTTAACAAGTATGCCTTTTGATGGGAGGCGAAATGAGCTTTTAAAATTGAACCACAGCCAGCTTTTCCACTTCTCCATACCCCTATTGCTCCTCCAAAACCTTCCCTCCTATTTATATTTTCTCATTCACTAATATCTTAACTTCTCTCTATTAGTAAACTAATACTGCATTACTAAACAAAAAGCATCCGACCAAGCAGAAAGCTACATCTATGAAGGTGGAAAGCCTTCCTGCAGCCAACTTTGCGTGTGTACACTGTTTACCCTTTGGATTTAAAGCAATGGCTCTAATGTGCTCTGAATAAAACATCAAAAATGTCAATGTGGAAGGTTTTTGTTAGAGTATGTGTGGCTCATATTTGCTGTACACAATGACAAGAATGTAAGTGCCGTGTGGAGTGGAGCGAAGCGGAACATAGCGGAGCGGAGCCCGCGATTAGTTGGGGGTGCAGGAGCAATGCCTCCGCGGTACGGTACAGGAGTATTTTGTAAATACGTCCGTACTAGGGTTATATAAATACTTAAGATGTAACTCAACTTTGTATAATAGAAAAAGAACGGTCACTCGCTCCTGTGGATGTAGACACATTGTCGAACCACGTAAATCTCTGTGTTATTTTCTCTTGCTTTCTTAATTAATTGATTCCGTATTATTCACTATAATTGTTGCACGATCACAACAGTTTTAATTGGACCAATACAATCCAATCAATGAAATGTTCGTAATCGATTTCATATTCACATCAAAACAAAGAGTATATTAGAGTGTTTTCTTGTACAAGGACATAGTAGTCAATTGGAAGAGAGTGGGGACATTGGACACAGATTAGTAGATGGAGATTAAGAAACAACAGTCACTGAACTTTGAAGAGAAGGGTGTGGAAGAGAGGAAAGAGCTTACCGGGAACAAATAGACATTTTGAGTAGGCAGAGTTCCTTTGGACTTTGCTTTTCCCACTTATTCCTCTCACCAAACATTCTCATTTTTTTTTTGTGTACCAGTACAAAGAAGATAGTCATGGGCCCTTGGGTCAAACGGTTGGTTTGGTTTTTCTTTCAGTGACTTTGTGCTTGTATTTAAACCTCTCTCTCTCATATCACAAACAGATAAATCCATTAGTGATGTAATGAGTTTGGTCAAGGAGATTAAGCCTATTATAAAACAGATTAGAAAGAATGACCTCTAGCATTAATCTAATCGTATACTCTTATCATCTCACAAGACACTTTTTAGTATCATATCCCGTTTGCTTGAACTTGTCACTACACACCACTGGTGGTGGTTGTGGAAGCAGGAAGACTGAAGCATGTGCTCTCTAACCGATTTGGTGTTGTGGTCACAACTGCCTGGGCTGACATATCACCAACTCTCACTATTCTACCCAAACCTGTTCTTTTGTGTGCTTATACATGATGTGGAAAGTGTAGGTATGCAATTTAATTTGCAATACCCATGATGCAGTAGTGTCACTCTTGGGATCTATGGAAGTTGATAATGCACAAAATTGTCTTCGCGCAAGATCAACAGTCGAGTATATGTAAAGGTACAATTAATGAGAACTAAATAGATAATCAATGGCAAAACAGTAAATATAGAATCAACACAAAGATTTATAGTGGTTCGCTCCTGTTGACCTACTCCACTCTCGGGAATGGTAGCGATGACCGGAGATCTTTATTGATGAATAATGTCACCGAAGTGAGTATTCCCCAGGAGTATTATAGTGCTTTGGAGAGAGAGAAAGTAATGTGTGTAGTAAGGTGTAGTGTGTGCAAGGATCTCAAGGTTATGAGAGCATGCCTTCTATATGGAGAGGGCTTACATTATATAGGTGTGATGAGGCGGTGAGGCGATGATGTGAGGAGGAAAACTTCTACTATTTTAGTAAGTACAGCTATGGTAGGAGATCTTCATGTCTATCCCAATGTTTTCTCCCTCGTGCTCCTATTTCTTCTTCGGAGGGTCTTGAATTGGATTAAGCTCGTACTTGACTTTGGGTTTGAACCCGGAGTGATCTTGAACTTGCATTAGAGTGAAGTGAGGAGGGGAGGATGGGCAAGGCATGGACGACGCCCACTTGAGGCCACATGTGTATAGGGATCTCAAGGTTATGAGAGCATACTCTCTATATGGAAAGGGCTTACATTATATAGGAGTGATGAGGCGGGAGGCGATGATGTGAGGAGGAAGACTTCTACTGTTTTAGTAAGTACAACTATGGTAGGAGATCTTCGTACCTATCTCTATATTTTCTCCCTCGTGCTCCTATTTTTTCGGAGGAGGGTCTTGAATTGGACTAAGCTCGTACTTGACTTTGGGTTTGGACTCGGAGTGTTCTTGGACTTGCATTGGAGTGAAGTGAGGAGGGGAGGATGGGCAAGGCATGGACGACGCCCACTTGAGGCCACATGGGCGGTGCCCACTTGGAGTCTTCATGGGTGGCGCCCCTTGGGTACCTTGGGCGGCGCCCATTTGGTCCCTTGGGCAGCGCCCCCTTTGAGGATGGGCTTGGTCTCTGTTTTGAACTTTTCTTTGGGCTTTCTCGACTTATTTTTATTGGGCCTGATCTAGTGAAATTCGGGCTCATCATTTGTCCCTCATGCCCCAAACCTTTGACTTTTTCGTGAGAAAGGGGTCGCAGGCATGTGCTTCGTATTCATCGAAGTGAGTCGAAATCTTCCTCGTCTTCAAGACTCCGCTGTATTGATCGGTATCGAACATAATTTTTTTTTTTTTGGCTGACTCTCTTCCTTCTTTTTTTTTTCTTTTCCTTTCTTTCTTGGGCTGATTGGGCGCCGCCCCCCTTTGTTGGCTTTTCTTCCACTTTATTTTTTTTTTCTTCTCTTGGTTTGGTTGACTCGTTGGGTTGGCCTTCTCCCCTTTTTTTTTTTTTTTTTTGTCTTTTCTTCATTTGTTGTACTTGGCACCACCCTCTTAATCTCTCTCCCTTCCTCTCTTTTTTTTTTTCTTGGTTTGGCCTGGCACTGCCTCCCTTCTTCTTTCTTTTTTTTTTTCTGTCTTGGGCGTCGCCCTTCTGGGCGCTGGCCTCTCAACTCTTTTTTTTTTTTTTTTTTTTTTTTTTCTATCTTGGGCGTCGCCTTTCTAGGCATTGGCCTTTTAGCTCTTTTTTTTTTTTTTTCCCAGTCTTGGGCGTTGCCCTTCTGGGCGTTGGCCTCTTAGCCTCTCTTTTTTTTTGGCATCCTTTGAGCGACAGTGGAGGCTACTCTGGGCACCACTAGAGGCTAGTATGGTGTTTTGAGTGACATCAAGAGGCTGAACAGCGCCTTGAACAATGTCAGGAGGCGGGGCAAGTGCCTTGAGCGAAGCCAGGAGGTTAGGCAGGCACCTTGGGCGACACTAGGAGGCTGGTCAGGCGCCTTGGGTGACTCCAGGAGGCCTTGGGCACTACTATGTTTGGGCGACGCCTTGAGTCTCGCTATAGGCGGCGCCTCTCTGGTGCTTGGTCACTAACTGACCTTATCTCTAATTATAAGCGCCCTGTTGATCTGGGGACTCTCTCTGCTTTTATAGTGGTTTTTTTTCCTCCTTTCAAGAGGGCGAGATTTGATGCCCCAGTATTTCTCGGTAAAGGTCCGATGGCTAAGTTGCTTTCGGTGGTGCCCCCATTCTTTCCCAGAGTGTGACTCCTGTGTACAACAGAGCTAGCACTCGTACCGCTATAGGAACTGAGACTCTAGTGCGGTCTTCTACAGGGAGTGTAGCTCCAAAGTTGTGCCTGGCAAAAACAATGTTATTCCAACATTTAAATATCTTAACATGATTACCTGGAGAGAGACAAATTGTTTGCATGAGAGCAAAGTCAGAGCTATGGTCGTCCCGTGAGAGGGCCGCATGAGATGAGGCCGAGCTACATATAACTCAAGAGATGGTTGTCGTAACAAAGGCTTATAAGGTGACTACTTGCGCGAGAACAGAGTCATGAGCTATGTATAACCGAAGAGATGGTTGCCATAGCAGAGGCTAGATAAGACCGAGCTTCTTTACGACTCGCGAGAGAGTGCGTAGCTAGAGATATAGGCTGTTGAAGAGTAGTTGGCGCTTGAGCAACAGGCACGAGAGAATGCCGCGAAACTTGCACGACAGGCACGAGAGGATGCCGTGAAGCTGTGAAGGCTCAAGCGGCAGACATGAGAGGATGCTGCTGAGAAGTTGAGGCTAGCGTATGAGAGAGCTGCCCAACTCTGAGGCTGACCTTCAAATAGCACTTGAGAGAGCTACTATGGCAAATGTTCACTCCATAGAGATGGAGGAGATACTTTGAGCCTGACCTTCGAGTAGCACTTGAGAGAGCAACTAGGTCAGAGACTCACTCCATAGAGATGGAGAAGATGAGAGATGCTGCTAAGGAGTTGGGCATCGCTAGGCGCCTAGTGTTGGGCATGGACGCCGAGGAGAGCTAGGCACAGACGCCGAGGGCCCCTGGGCGCCTGAGGTTGGACGTCTGGTGAGAGGGGGCAAGACTCATCGTTTAGGCGGCATCAAGGGATGCGCCCAAGGTGGAGAGGGCGAGACCCTTTGTCTAGGCGTCTGAGGTTGGGCTCCTAGGGACACTGGTGCCAGAAGCAGAGAGGTCCTTCTTGGATGGCGTGCAGAAGGTGAGCGAGTCATCGTGGGTGACAGCCAGGGCACTGGCCTGGGTGATGCCAACCTGGGTGCTGGCCTGGGCGACACCTACCTAGGTGTTTGCTTCTAGGAGCCTACTGCCGGGCGCCTAATGAGAGGGCTACTGTTGATTTCTCTGGCTTTGTCCCCTATGAGGCACCACCAGTAGTTGGTGATGGGGAGAGCCTTGATTATAGTGGTTATGACTCAAGGAGCAATGATTGATCGTCAGGAGTATGACGATTGTTGTCTTTTTGTCTACACCTTGTTTTTAGGTCATGCTCTGTAAGCTGTTTGTCAATTTTTAGGAGAACAAGACAATTCNAAGGAGCAATGATTGATCGTCAGGAGTATGACGATTGTTGTCTTTTTGTCTACACCTTGTTTTTAGGTCATGCTCTGTAAGCTGTTTGTCAATTTTTAGGAGAACAAGACAATTTTGGATACAATGATC